ATATATTTTATGTGCATACATTTATAACGTAGTCCTCCTCCATATTACTAAACATAATTTTAATAAAAAGTTAACTTTCAAAATACAATTCACCATCCATATTACTAAACATAATTTTAAACAAAAAGTCAACTTTCAAAATGCAATTCACTTATACCTCTTCATTTATGTTTGCACTGCAGTAGATCTGTAAACTTTTCTTGTGAACATGCAGTGATCATATCAAAAAACACTGCTTGAGGCTGATTACAGTCACCAATTACACTGTTTTATTAATCCCTTTTTTGTAACACTGGGCACCAAAAGCACATCAATTAATTGAACTCCTGCATTTTCTCAATAAAGAGCCTTTCAGGATCAAGATTAGATATGCCTTTCACGCTGAAATGTTATTTAAAAATACCCTTTTCTAGTCACTTCTCACTTCCAACGTGTGATGTACGGGGCACAGCTACAGTTGTTTGCTGTTCCTACGAGAGTCTGAAAACTCTTACGCAGAAAAGACAACCCACGTTCATAAAACAACTTTCTAGAAATCTGTCACAGAGGAGAAATGCATTGGGTGGAAGGCGTTCAGTGGGTGCATGGGACAGGTAGCCAGAAGAATATAAAAGGAATATGGAAGCATAAGAAGGGATACAAAAGTGTGGAAACACAGCAAGAAAATTCAAGTTAAGAAGAATGAGGCCTTCAGGCTGGAGAGTGCTCCTTCAGGTAGAGCCAAGGTAGACTGAGAAACACACAAACCGAAGTGTTATCCCACTGCTGCACAAGGAGACGGGATTAATACACGTCATCACAACTTAAAAGAATATTCTCGCGCTCCTACAAATTTGGAAGCAAGAGTAGAGAGCTGGTGTGGCTGTTACTGATGCTATTTGTGCTTCAGGAGAAAAAGGTCTTTCAAGTTCATGACCAAATTTCTTCTGCTACTTCTGCAGTAAACTCAGACTCATATTCAAAACATAACCTAATGTTATGGTAGTTATTATGACAGGGTGGATATTTTGACTTTACCACAATCAGAAAAAGAATAAAAGTTACCATCAGTAACTGCTTCTGTTTGTATAAACTGGATCATTACCAAAAAAGCAAAAAGTAAACGTGTTTAATAAAAACAAGTGGTGAGGCTGTCCCTGGTTGCCTAGGAAATGTAGAAAATTCCTTTTCAAAGTAGCCATGGGGTCAGACAATAGACATTATAGTCTGAATTATTCTGCATTGCCATAAAAAAAACAAAGAGCTGGGAACAATTTTGTGACAACTCCTTTGTACACATTCCACAACGGTTGATGGAGAAACAATAGGGTTTTTCATCATTGTTTTCCATAGTTCCTGGAAAAAGCTGTAGCCATTCAGCCTGCAAATACCACAAGTACACACAAATGTGTGACACGCACACATATATAAATATTTGGGTACAATATGGACAACACTGACTGAAAGTTAAACCTGCATGTTCTTGGACTCGATCTTCCAAAGACTTCCCTAGGAGAACACAAATACTGTATCCTATGGACTATGTCACCTGAAATTGGAAAGATACAGGTTTACAATTTCTTGATTTCAAAGACTGCTCCTAGAATGAGGACTGCTAGATATGGAAAAACTTAAGCACTGGCACAGAAAAAACAGACTGGCAGAATCAGAGCTTCACAGGTTTCTTTGAGCTAGGCACAATTTCAGATACTAAATTTACTGGGAATTAATTTTAGCACAACAGTAATAATTTCATAATCTGGGACAAAGCTGGTTTAATATTTGTATCAAATCAATACTGCAGATAATGAACTTTGACTTTCATCTGGTTATGCTCATCTATAGATGGACTCATCAATGTATGACCACAGTTGTTATATAAACATTCCTGTGCTACCCAGACGATGACTGTGAAAATTCTTTCATCAAAACAAACATGTTACCTCAGAGTGTGCAGCCTCTCCTGGTGACAGCAAAGCATTTTAGAAATCCAGCCTGTTCATCCAAACACCATATTGTACCACCCTTAAGTATATCTCAGACGTTAAAATTTGACTGCTTAAACCCCCCTACAATCTGATCTTACTTGCTATGCATCAAACTCCTCCGTGAAATCCTTATAAGTCTGGCACAAATAAAACCAGACCCATACAAACAGGGCAGATATTCTGAACACACGAAAACAGTGGTATGGTTAAAGGGTTCTGCCACTTGAAAATCTCCAGGAACTTCTTCATGATAGTCTAAAAGTGCCCACTGCTGCGCTACATATAAACCAGGAGAATAAATATAATACAGGTCATATATTAAGTATCATAGAGATTCTCCATATTCCATGAAGGCATTTAGTCACACTAAAAGGTAACATTTAGGGATTACCTTTTAAGCTAGTGATAAAGTATTACTTGCTCACCAGTTCTTTCCAAAGATCTTGCTATGAATATTCAGGTCTTGATTATAATGAATCTGAGGCACTCTGCAACACTTAGAACTATGGTGTAGTAGTACCACTGTCATACAGATTATCCAAAGTGAACACAGCTACACCATGCGTGCCACTCGTAACCATCACGTGATGGGATAGATAAAGCTCAACCTGCACAGAGTGGGAGGAGGCAAAGTATGGCCTTGGAAACAGAAAGGTCAATCAATTTCAAACTTTGCAGTCTGTCAGAAGGGACATGACTGCATATTACATCCTTGCTGTCAAATATCAGATGGTAGGGGGAGATGAGGGAAAGGAAGCAAAATTTTCAGAATCTTCCATAACAATAACACTATTATGATGATCTAGTTTCATGAAGACACAGACTGCTTAAGGAGTCTTCCATAACTTCTGTGAGATTGGTAAAATACTTGGATGTATTTCAATTATCACTATCATTATTATTATTGCTACTTTAAGGCTGTCAAAGTCTCTTGCTTATCAGTAAATGAGGAAAAGGACTAGGGGATAGATGTAAAACAGACCTAATTCCTAATCATCCTAGAGATAATGCCAAGGTCAGCTGTACCAAAGAGCACAATATACCGTGTGACTCAATGCACACTTGCAGGAATATTCATTAAGCAAGTTAGAAAATGTGCCTATCTTACTGCCCTATCTACAAAACAAACTTCATTTAGCCTTGGTAATTCTGGTTGTGCAGACTCAGGAAGAAAGAGTGCTAATATATATTAAAGAATTATAAAAATATTTTAAAATAGAATATTTTTTAAAAGAACTTTTGAGTAACTTAAGAGCTCCTGCCTTTCACCTCAGAGCATATCAGACTGAGAGGTCTGTGCCATGCATTCTCTTTTTGTATTAAATGAAAGACTGTCTGATATGAGATTTTAAATCTGTCTGTGGCACAAATGCAAATGGTTTCTATGTAGGCTTTGGTCCAGTGAAATTGTGGTAAATTGCTTTTATTAAGGGCAGCTACTTAATGCTTGGATTTGTCATGTTAGTCTGTTCAGTGGAGCTGATGTAATGGTCACTGTAGAGGTCAAGCTACGGAAGTAACGGTAAATGTCATATGCAAAATAACTACCAACAACAGCATAAATAAATTTGCAGTTCTGTTCAGTGTTTGTGTTCAACCTCGCAATTGTTGTTGAATTACAGCAGTTGAATTACACACTACTTTGCATCTTTGTTATCACTGATGACTTTTTAAAATCTTATTTCCTTAAAAGGGGTTGTAGCATGAATGTAACTAACAAGTATTTCTGGCCACAACAACAAGCAAGAGGGATACACACTAAGAGCACAACATACTGTGTGGGATGTCAAAACTGATATATAACGTAGCAGTGGGAAAGACCAGCAATGATCAAATCCATTTGTCCCTAAGGGTTCCTTCTTACAGTTCACACTGTGAAGCAGAGTCACCCTCCTATCTCCTAGCAGGGAGTACAGCTGGTCCTACTGCTGCACAAAACGCATTTCCAGCATGGAAGAAAGGAAGGAGAAGATCCCTATAGCGTTAGCTCATCTTTAGTAGTTCAGAGTAAGGAAGCGATATCCTTATTCAACACATTTGTTTATTTCCTTCTGAATGCTGCATTGGCTGAAATGTAACTGGGAGGAATGGGAAGAGAAAATTTAGACTCATACACAAACAGAAGCTTTGGGCAATACATTATATCATCACGGGTACAACTTTTACCATTGGATGATATTTCCTTGCTGTAGAGTTTCAGGGCCATGCAGAATTCTTTTTAATAATTTCTGTCCTTCACTACTTTGTTGAGGAGGACCCTTTCCAAAGCTGTGGTTTCCACAGCACTAGTGATATAGTGAGTGGTCCTTGGCTAGCGTGCAGATAACATGGTCCTACATGTCATCTGATAGCAATCTCTTTTTCCCTTCCTTTTGAATTCCCCAGTATATAACCAAGCCATATAAGTGGTACGGTTCTGTAAGAAATGTCAAAGGTTGGCAATTACCCACTGGTCCAAAATTTGGAGAACCTGTGCTGGCACTGTTACACAGATGGGGAAACATACAGGTAATTCTTAAATGCAAGATTATTAACTGGATAATCTTAACAGTCATCAAAAACCTTTTTCCAAACAATTATAGTGTTTACCTTCAGTTCTGTCCGGTAGTTTCCCACTTTTACTTGTTGTTCCAGTATTGACTGTTTCAGATGAGGTGCTCAGTTTGGTGTTGGGGTCTCGCTTAGGTTTTGGAGGTGGCTGCTTACGAGAGCTGCTACTTTCATCATCGGTTCCTCCAACAGAATGAAGAGACTGGGATCTTACAGTGAAGCCACTGGAGCAAGGATGCGGCAGTCTGTCCTGAGGAGCAGGCATTGTCATAAATCCCATGCGGAAATGTTTCCCCACGTAGCTTCCTTCATTTCCTCTCACTACTTCTCCACCTATGCTGTAAGAGAAAATACACATATAAGTAAGTGATCCACCTTTGCCTGAACTGTACCTGGAACCTGGTCTCAGTTCTGCCTGTGATGAGCAGATTGTACTTTTGGTTTCGTAAACAAGCAATGCTCTCTTCTGTTCTTAAAACAAGATGATTGCTAGAATGGTCTAGTCTGTTTTTCAATACCAGTTGCCAACAACTGAAATGCAGATATACTGCTGTAGACTCACTCAAAATTTTACAAGAAATTGAGAAAAGCTGTTGTTCAGGTTTCATAGCATTGTGACTAGAAATTGTCCATAGACAAATTTCAAACATCAGAAGTCAGAACTGAGCTTTCAGAAAGACAAGAGATTTCCAGTAAGGCAAGGAATACCACTTTAGTAATGCAACATTGTGTATTGATCTGCACTCCCTTGCACTCAGCTTTGACTACAGACACTCACGTACCTTGGGAAACACGGCTCTTAGCATCCAATCAATCATTTCCTTTCAGACTAAAGAACGGTAAGAGAAAGAAATGCGCTAAAAATTTCTTGGATATAGGAAACCGAATATTAACATCTCATCAAATCCACATGAAGCTGCAACATAAGCAGCATCAGATTAACAAGATACAAAAAGCAATGAGACGCCAGGAAGAAAATAACCTCCAACCACTTTGAAACACAGGTATAGAAGAAGCAAAACTCAACTGAAACAACTGCTGTCATATCAAGTACTACATTGTACTGCAGGACTGAGAACCTGGTATTATTTCTGCTATACTCATACATGCTTATCAGATCTGAAAAACAGCTCTTACCGATGCTTATATTGTAAACATACAGCATATTTCAATTAAGGCAATTCAGTGACTATGCAACGAAACTCAGCAACACACAGGTCAACATGGACCTATCTGCAAGGTGGTTTCAAATGGTACCACTGTGGGCATGCAGAAATGTCAGTGTGAGAACTGCGAAGTCCTGCAAAGCCCTAATTACCTCCTATTTCCCCTTCACACAGAGTGAAGCTCTAAGCAGGGTCATGCTGCTCCTCTCTAAGTTTCCTATTCAATGTTGCCTTGGGCTGGTGCAGTTTATTTGGTGCTGGAGCACAGCTCCTTCTTTAAAAGAGAAGAACATTTCTCAACGGTTCATATGAAAAGTAAGGTCAATTCATTCCATGATACTGTCCCCATCTTCATTGTAGGTAATACACAAGCTGTATCTAATTATCCTAAAAGCATCAGATAGGTGCCATGCAATGCACAACTTTGTGCATAATAAAGCAGAACTTTCTTTTGCTTGCCACCGTCCTTGCATTTTTATTTAATTTCCACTAGTGGAGAGGTCCACTTTCCAAACTGGTAACGACTGAACAGGTCTAACTGAACATGTGCCACTCTCCAGGGGCACTGACACCTACCTGCACACGTACACACATGCATGCACACATGTGTGCCATGCATATGCACACACTGGTCCATGTTCATAACCAAGTTATTACTGAATCCTAATTGGCATCAATTCCAGAGGGATTTGTAGCCAGAAAGATCAAAAGGTAGAACTCATTAATTTGAAGATTAATAAAAAACCTGTAGCTAATTTAAATGATTAACTATGCCTCTACTAATCTTTCATAAATTGTTCTGAAAATAATACAATCCTCTGATGCTGGACTACAAAAAAGGCCTGTCACATTATTTAAAGAAGATTACTATCCAAACATGCTGAAGAACGCAGGTGGGGAATCTGCTTCCTTCCTTAAGTCCATTGGATAAATCACGTTTAGCAAACAAAGTTTCAGTTTGCCATGTTTCTGACATTAAAATTTGCATCTTGTTATACCATTTAATTAGTGCATTTACTTCACCGGAGGTATTTAAACCATACACTATAGGACAGATTCTGTTCTGGAGGGACTTGCACCAGTTCCACTGAGATGACACGTTTCACCCATTTCCTAAGAATACACAGAACTGCATTTATACGAAGCATGGGTTTTTTCCAAACTGCTGCATCTTGTATTGCAGAAATAAAAAACCTCAAAATATTAAGTCCAGTGTCTAAATGCACTATCTCATTAGGCAATTAAATCATGTCCTTTCTTTTTCTTTCCCTTCCCATAATGTTTTCATTCTTTACTGAATTACTTTCAACATCATGGATGAAAACCTGTCTCACCTACTTCCTACGCCTACTCCAGAATAAACAGCCTACAGCCAGGTCAGACAGAAGTGGCAGGTACAGTTGGGAACAGACTTTGCTGTTTTGCTTCATGGCTGAAGTAGATCTGCTCTTGCTTTTCTACATCCTCTGCTCGGCTACTAGACAAAAACAGCAGGACACCATTTCCCTCTTTTCAGCCATGTTTAAGAGAGACTCCATTTCTCTTTGAGCATAGGAGCCAACCTTCAGCTGATAGTTAGGTACTGTAAACCCCAAGCTGAAGACAACTAATCTAAAATTCTTGCTCCTGGTCATCAACCAGGATCATAAAAGGCTTAGATTTGATACTTATGCTGGTAGCGATTCCTGAGTGTCGGGCATCAGGTGTTTCCTAGCATAGCTTAATAAGCCCAAGTGTAACACTGGGTGGAGTACCAAGTTCACACCTCAGTAACACAGTCTGAAATCCCCCGTGGTGCGAAGAGAAAGGAGTCACCCCAGACTCATACCCAGAGCACAAGTACAAAAGCAGGATGGCAGATTTCAAACATGGCATCCCCTACCCTCAGGCAGGAGCATGCTGAAGCTCCATTTGGACATGTGCAACGCAGCTCTGCAATGCACAGTGCTGCTGACGGTACATCATGAAACCAGACTGAATTAAGGGATTTATTCATATACTCCTCCTGCTTGCAACCATGGGAGTCGGCTGGGGCTGGTGTACGTCCACCACAGCACAACAGGCCAAGAAAGATTTATACGCACCTTGCTGCATAAATGACTACAGAGACAGTGAGGGAAAATAATTGTGTAGATGATCTCACTCCATTATTTCTGACAGGAAAGAGCCTGTGCTCCTCATTGTACTGATAATGAGTTCTATCTCTTTTCAAAACTATATTATGTGAGTTGCTGCAAGTATTACACAGTTTATTAATATATATGGAAATACAGATTTGGATTATTCCTCTGGGAAGTTTCAGTTTGAACTTGGCCAGGTTCAACTGCTTCTCTGACAAAGAATTATGTACAGCATTCAAATAACCATTAAAAATGCAAGACATGAATTACATAATAACAAAATTAATCATACACTCACTTACACTACACACTTAAAGCAAAGCTGACTTTGTGCTGAAAATGCACTTTGGCGTTTGCCTAGGTCTAGCGACTGATGCTGCAGTGGATGGAAAAAAGGGTAGTGCTGGGAGGGTGGCTCCAGACACCCTTAAGAAGAATGTTCTGAAGCAGCTCTCCTCTCAAACACACCTTACAGGGCTTCTCCAAAACCTACCTAACAAGTCTGAAGCAGACCACTGAGTGCTGCCAGATTACGCACTCCCTTCTTGAATGCACTGGAAGGTAAGCCAGCTTCCCATCCCTCTCCCTCTTGCACACAGTACTGGAGTTGAATCATTACAGCAAATACCAAACCACTTGAATCTGCCTTAAATCAGTAATAGTGGATTTCACCTTTCATTTCTAAGACATGATCAAGAGCTCCAACTGATGGATCTGATGAGTCTTGTTATACCTCAAATACCTGTTTTATCTATCAGCTGAGATTTCTGAGGTCAGAACTGGGCTACCATAAAACCACACTGACCTTGCCGTTCCTACCTGTGGTATCAGCCTGTCTGCGCATAAGCTGCAATCATCGCAGTCCTGGACACGTTACAGCTCAGCTTATTGTGCTCTGCCTGCTCTGTTCTATCAGGTACATACTGCAGCACTGACCAAACTACAGCACGGAATAACTGAAATGTGCATGTGTTTGGAGAACTACAGAGGGGAAAGTCTTTTATTCATTTTATTACACATCACAAGAGGGCAAATTATAGAGGAAGGCTAAACATCAAAAACAAACACAGAAAATACTCTCAATTGACAGAGCACAGGCAAGGTCACTTCCACCTTGCTTTGCATTCAGTCATAATGTTCCTATTGACTAGGAATATATTTTCAAGTTGTTAAGTTAGAAAACTAAGACAAAGAACTTGTCATCACATTGCTGAAAAATCCATGGCAAAGAAAAAGCATCCAGAGACTGCCTGCCCCAATCTGTGTGGTCTTTAATTTGCATTGTTCCTACTTAGCATTGCAAATAACAGTTTTACTTTGGTGTGAAGTTTTGTTACTTGGTCCAGGCAGAAATGGAATTAATTCCTGGAAAACAAATAGTTGTGTGAAAACTTTTGTTTTACTTGATGTTACTGCTTTAACCATAAACAATGTGGAATATTAAACCCCTCAGTGCAGTTGTAAGGAGTAGGAGAATTCTTGGGAACATCTAAGTCCCATAAAGTCAGAATACCCTAGAGCTGCATTTTCTTCCCAGCTATCTATCTACCCTTGTTCTTAGTATTCATCCAGAAATCCTCTTATCAGTTCAGACTTACAATGGATTAGTTTCATGCCTCAGGCACCAAGAACCACTTGGTAAGTCTCATCTTTGTGCGGTTTCTATTTTTCTTCCTGTCCTCCTTTACATGAGACTTTCTGACTTTTTATCCACATGTTAAAAGGGACAACTACATCCGATTATGAGACTGGACCTTCTAAGCAGGAGAAAGGGGAATGTACTCTGCTGGTGACGTGGCATCTTTGAAGGTATTTTGCCATTTCTTTACTGTGATACACCCCAGTCTGGGACTGCAGCAGGTCACCATCCTTCTCTAGGATTCGAAATTCCAGACAACCAAGAGAAGCCATGTCAACAGCAGCTGCTCACTCCTCTTGTGCTTGAGGAAGACTCAGTCACAGATACTGACTTGTTAGCTTGCAGAAACTGGGCTGGGTGTCTCTGCAGGCTCCTCTGCAAAAGCAGGGAGAACTGTGAATTATAGGGCAAAG